AGATGTTTGATGCGGTATCAGGTTTAGGATCGAAGCAATTATCTAATCGAGTTCTTTGAACGTTGCTTGCCCCCACATGAAACGTCTCCGTCTTTGGGGAGTGATGCATGTTCGTGGTCGCATCCGTGGGGGAGAGGAGGATATTTTTGGTTATTTACACCTAATCATGTTGGCGACCCATTAATCTTAATTCCTCCTCATGTCGGATAACATTCGAGGGAGCATGTGGTAATTAAATAAGGCGGCAGAAACAATCAGTCTGGGAGAAAATTAAGAATGTCCAGTGTAACGATGTGAACGCAGCAGACGGTGGACACTGTCCACTGTAATCACTTAAAACTCCCCCACTGCACGAAATTTCGTCCAATAATAATCCATCAACGTTCCGGCCGTATTTGGAGATGAAGACGAAAAACAAGAAGAAAAATGGGAATTATCCTTGCGTCTTCTTTTCGACCAAATACGAGATGATTCCAATTATAGATACGGAAGAGTTGAGCGATTCAATGATGATGACGACGACGAGATGATGCTATCTCCGGGAAAAACTAACATCAATATCGACTTGTTAACTTTATTACTCGCTCAACATTTCTTCAGTTTAACTGGAGACCAAACGCGGGATGTCATCGCGTCGGAGAGCGTGCCGTGTGGTGCGCCGTGCGCCGCCTCTTTGAATAACAAATTCATATTTCAAGAGCGTATCTATCTCGATGGAAAATCTCCCGGAACAACAATATAAATTCAAAACTAATTTGTTTTTCAATGAAAATCGTTTTCTAAGCACCAGAAGAAGAAAAAAAACGAAGATATCTCAACGTCTGTCAGAATTTATTACATCTTTATTATGCATTGAATATTTGGAATTTGAATTCCTAAAATCATCATGCGACTTGCTTGAAACTAAGATAAATTCATTAATACTCTCTTTCCAAACATAGTCAACTCAGAATATGACTATGTTAATTCACATAGTTAATATAAATAAATAATTGAAACATACCTGTTTTTTAAATTTTGGAAATCTAAATCTATTATTAAATTAAGATAATATGTAATAATAAGGACAATGAGTAAACATGACTTTAGAATATGAAAACATTGGTAGTATGCATAAATAAATAGTTGTTTTAAGCAAATTGAAGATGGTGTATGTATTTCGGGATGGATAAATCATGTGGAAAATGAGATTGCGTTAGGACAAGAAGCATTATTATTCAGGACGTCGGACTTCCCGTCCTAAATCAGCCGAAAGAGACAGAGAGAAGGCGAGAGAGAGAGAAAAACAAAGTACGAATCTCGTCCAGGTCCGTCCTCTGCACTTTTATTACATCTTAATGTATTAACTCCAAACATAAATAATGAAGAATGCACGCGGACCCGACGGTGTTATTTCAGCGCCTCTTTACTTTATTTACTTGGCTGTTATTTTTCTTTGTTTCACGTCTTCTTTTTCTGGTCTTGTTCGTGCCTCTGCCAAGTTATTTCCAAGAGCAAAAATCTCTCTCTCCGAGACACACAGGAGGAGACCGAAGTACCAAATATTTAATTCAGACAAACAGCTCTATATAAATGCGTCTTAACGCGCGAACGCCGCATGAATTATTATCTCCATGCGAAGACAATAAATCTTGGCCTCCTTTTATTTGCATATATCTCTCCGGCTGTGGGGGAGAACGGAAAAAAATTGGTGAGGTGGAGTGGAAGGGAAAAAGAAGAACGAAGAGTTTATAAGGAGACGATGGAGAGAGAAAAAACTGGAATACGCGAATCGAACGACTAAAGATTGGATTCCGGAAGAAATCTACCAATTCCGGAATTCAATTAACCTTTAAGCTTAAACACACTTTACAGCCAATTCACAATTCGTTTCAAAGAAGGTTAGAAAAAAATATAATGGAATTGATTTAGTCCAGTCTTACAGATTAGTCCTTATTGATATACTTATCTATGAATATTAATACTTAAAAATTAATTTTTAAAATTTATTATACATTGCAAATCGTACTTTTTCTTAATTCCTTTTACAGATATTTTTTGGATTGAAAATAAATTCTTTATATTTATTACTCACAAATAATAATTTTACCAATACATATATCTCTTTACACAAATCCTTATTAAATCAAGCTAATTGAAGTCCATTATGAAGCAATTAAAAACGATGATATATCCAATTGACGTAGTAAGCCTTTGTACATGAATTCATAGCTCTCCCATCGATCAACATAAACTTGTGCCTGACAGATGATCTAATTGCGTAAATTGAAATACAATAATCCGGTTAAGATTCAGCTGGGGAAGAGTTTAAATGGCTCAGCTGTAATTAACGATGGATTATTTAGTAGCAAGCGTGTAATGCAATAGCTATGTAGGTGTCTCCTCAAGGCCTCATCAATGTGCTCACCGGTCTATTGAGTTCAGTAATCCATTATACAAGGAAGACTTTGCTTTAGATGGATTCTAACCAAAACAATATGTCAACGATGCTTCTAATTTCAATTTGTGTTTTGTTATCAGCAAATTAATTAATTTCATATTTCATTACTAATTTTAGTTGGTATTTAATGAATTATGTTCATTAGTGTAACTTTTTCCCAAATACTTGTATAATATGATGTAGTGAAAACCATCTCCTATTGTTATAGAATGTAATTATATCTATTTTGTGAGAATTGATATGTTATAAAACAATGAATGTAAATTGGTCAGTGGTGAAGCGCGTATTAATTTTATTATCTGAAATGGATCGCAGGGAAGTTTAAATTTGGAATATGTAGTTCCATGAACGATTGGTTGGGAAACTCGGAAAGCCATTGATGCGAGAATGTTCCCGATATTGGGAGCCATTTCCAAAGTAAGTAGCATTATGTAAAACGAGAAGTTCGGATGACGGTGGAGTAGAAGGAGGAAGTAGAGAAGGAGGATCGAAGTGTCCGTCGGATTTTGTGTTTGTTTGCGTGCGTGCAATTCGGGGGCGGCTGTGGCGGTAGAAGCTAGCGTTGGTGGCGGAATTGATTTCGAATTATCCCAGGAAACACACTTCTCAGCAAACGAGAAATAAACCTATTTGTGTTCAAATGTCTAAATGATACCGAAGGAGTGAGCAAGAAGGGGACATGGACAGGACTGCTGGAGGGAAGAGAAAGAGCCGGTCACGAAGACCGTGCATGTTTCACGATATCATTCTTTAATAACCATTTTATATGCACGCTCTTGGGGGGGTGGCGGAGGCGGTAGAAAAGGTGGAGGAGGCGGCAACGGCGGCGACGGACCTGACGTCATGCAGACGACTTTTATTTTTACCTTCCCTTCTCCGCTTCCTTTACCTTTTCGCCGCAGATTTTCTCGGATCCTATGAAAATTGCTTCGCTTAAAGGTTAATTACTTTCCACGATACACACCGCCGTTCCTTTCGTTCATTCCCATTATCTAATCCTCTAATTCCAACGAATGCAATTGCCGCCACCGCCGCTAATTCAATTACTTTTCCACGGAATTTCCTTTATCTCGATCATTTCTTGACGTGCATCCAATTAGACCCAATGCGACTGCCATTAATAGGAGATCAGCTCCTACACATGTTCCCGCTTTCGAGCAATATGCCACTTATAATCGTCTTATTATTCTGCAATTAAATCAATTCACTTTATTACTGCCATTACTCGTAAGATGAGATTTTATCCACGAAATCTATTCATTTCCCATCCGACGGTTAAAATAATGCTCGCCTTTTAAATCTTCCACTTCCTACTTCCCACAATGAAACCATTAGATCCATTATCGCATTACAAACGTCAATTAAAAAGTTTTATTCAATTACTCGATCATCTATAAAACTCAGATAATAACTGTACATTTTCACGATTCAAATCTTAAAATTGAATTATCGTCTATATATTTTTATATTAATTCAATCATTTATTTTAAAAGTCAAATAAACTAGTAATGCAAATAAAATTATTATTATTATTTTCTTTTAAATTAGAGCACTAAACATACCCAAACTCAATGTTACATCCAGACTATACGTTGCACGAGAATTTAATATAATACCAAGTAATATTTGTTTGACACTAAATTTAAACTGATAGCAGCAATTTCACATTGTACTCTCATGTGTATTGCAGTTGATACGCCTGACAGTCATTTCTCAAGTCACGAATTGTGTGAATGCATAATAATATTTGCAATGACAAATGAAATAATGTCAAATTTCAAATTCAATATGCACAATATCATTTATAGTTGCACAAATTCTTAAGAAAATTTCTCTTGTATTTATTAAAAATTATGACTTCTCCTTTAAATCATATTTATAAATATCATGTGTGTTTTAATCCATTTTTTTTTAATGTTTCTTGTAATAATCATGTAACATATTTAGATGAGGATTAATTTGTAAAGCAAAGCTGCGATATGTAATGATATCAATAAATCTTACATTAAGTGCCGGTATTTTGGGAAAGCCTCCCCGGCGTATTGAATTTATGATTACCACATGGAGCTCTAATCCAACGCACAGAGATTTGATAATGTAGATTTATGGTAACCTTCTTGCTCAAATACGAAGACATGTTTCTAAAGATTAAATCTTTAATTAGAATAGTAATAATGGGGTAATCAATGTATGAATTACGAAGAATTAAAAATTATCAATTTCAGTTGAAATAATAATTCTTGAAATTTGATCTTTGCGTGAATAAATACGTTTTTAAGAGAAAGTAGTAAAAAACTGTATACATAATAATGATTCTTGGATATATAGTCATCTCATTCTGAAGAAAACGCGTGTAATTTCTTGTAATTTTGTTGTTTTTCTTGATGCTGTTGCTCACATGATTCTTAGGATGCAGTCATCTCGTTATAAAATAAACGCGTGTAATTTCTTGCAATTTTCGTTGTTGATTTTTTTGTTGTTGTTGTTGTTATTATTATTATTGTGTAGGTACTGAGGTGTGAACATGTGTTTTGACTGGAGGTTCTTGTTGTTGTTTCAGGTCAAATTCGGTCGCCTCGTATAACAGAGCATCCGTCGGACACGATAGTAGCGAAAAACGAACCGGTTACACTGAATTGCAAGGCCGAGGGCAAACCGGAGCCCGAGATCGAATGGTACAAGGACGGGGAGCTGGTGAAGATAGCGAACGTGGACAACAGCAAGTCACATCGGGTCCTTCTCCTTTCCGGATCCCTCTTCTTCCTGCGAACTGTTAACAGCAAGAAGGAGCAGGACAGCGGGGTCTACTGGTGCGTGGCCAAAAACATGGCAGGATCGACGACCAGCAAAAACGCCACCCTACTAGTTGCAGGTAAGGTCCTTTTTTTAAAACCTCTTCGTGTTTTTCTCCATCATATTTCTACTTCTTCCCGAATGTACGAGCGGCGCACACATCCGGCTTTTGCATAAATTGAATTTCTCTTACGTTGGAGAACTTTCCAGACGTATACGTTAACAGACCGATGAATTTCTTCGGGTTTTTTTTTCTTCTTCTTCAATATCGGTTTACTTTTATGATACGGCCTCAGACTTTTCGAGCGCCGCAGTCGCCCTCGATGTTCCTGCAAATTACGAAAGCCATCCGATATTCGCTCCTAAATTGTTTGCCCTCCGCAAACTGAAATCCAATACTGACAATTAATGCCCTTGTATACAAGCGCACTACCAAGTCTGAGCAGAAATTAACTACCAATACACTTTCTAGATACATACAATTTTATCGCATCGTCATTTACTTACGAACGTATCAAATCACATGCAATTAGCAAATTACTGCTACATTCTCCTCCGGATATTTCTGAACTAGATTCTAGTAGTTTGATTGATAGATACATGTAATAGTTATCAAACTGTCCAACTAAATTTACGATGAATGCATATCAATACTAATTAACACTTCAAAATCATCCCCATCATCAGTTATATAATTTAATTAAACCGTAACTTACATAACAGATAAAATAGAATGTCCTATTTCCAAATAAAGTTTGGAGAAATTTATTAATAAATAATTGCTTTATTTTAAATACAACAACAAATATGTGGATCAAAAAATATGTAATGAAAATATGAGACTATGAAACCTTCAAACCTCATATATATTGATGTCAATAGTAATTGGGATGTATACTAGTATATTGTAGACGGCTCTATCACCTTTAGACTCAGGTATCTATTAAATGATAGACGGATGCCAATCATTATGTAATTCATATAATTGAGCACTACTCCAAGACGTTGAGGAATTCGATATTTAAAAAAAAACTAATGTTACAAGTACAAATTGAAATCTTTGATACTAGTTAATTAAATTACTTAAGTGTATAGTAGGGAACTCCTCAAATAACACATACATGTTATATCATTATTAGTAACTTAGATATGACAAGCGTAAAAGATATATTTTACTCAAGATTCGATTAAACTTGAACATCTGTTTCATATAATATTTACTTGTTTCATACCAATATAAGTTTCATAGAAATTCAACTTTATTTATTTTGTCTTTAATTATTTCAATAAATATTATTATGTTAATAAATGTTGATAATATTTTTGCTATAATTTTGTAAATTATATATTTAACGACTTGCAATATTAATATGTACAAATCATATTTACCGAGTTACGTTTCTATAATGAATATAATTGAGCACTCAACGTGTTCAAAGAATTCCATACACAAAAGAAAAACCTGCGGATAGACATTTCCTCTGCATTCGACGTCTAAATTGAAGGCCCCGAAGCTTCGTCCTAGGTAATTAAATTAGACATTGCCTGTAAAGCAACAGAAATAAATAATTCAAGTCTCTACATCATTTACATGACTTTTCTTAATCCGAGCTCTTTATAACACGAAATAAAAGGCGTCTGTTTTAACTTATTGTATAAATATAATACACAACGAATGAGAATATTAACTGTTACATAAATGTGTTATATAATGAATGAGTTCCACTGACTCTTAAATTAATAAACGTTAGAAACAAATTACTGTATATTATTAAACTAGCGTGGAATTTTTACCACACTTAATGAGATTCGACCATATGGTTATTAACTTTTGTGAGGAACTGGGAATTAAGTGAGAAAACGAGATAAGTCGAGGAATAGAATGAAGAAGAGAACAAAATAATAGTGAGGTAGAGTTTCTAAAGCAAATGATAAGGATCGTGAGTATTTTTCTTTATTTTTTTTTCTGGCGACAATACCAACGATAAATCTTGGCATGAGAAATATCTCCTTATATAGAAGCACGATTTCAACTTTCGTTCCAAGAACTTAAAAGATTTTTTCTTTGCTATAAATCACTCATCAATCAAAGTTTTAGAATATATTAATTTTACGTAATTCTATGATAAACGATATAGTTTTTTTGCAATCTCAGTTGCAAAGATTTACATAAATATTAAATTAAGTTATACTGCTTGAATTAGTTTACAGTATTTTAATGTGTAAAAATAAGCAATTTAAAATAATACAATGTTGTAATAAATCATAACTTGCTGATGAACTTGAGGATAGAAGAAAGTAACGAGATTGAGCTAGTTTTCCGAGTGAATTGCACGCAATTCAGCTGCGATTTATCATTCCTTGGAAATCATTTAATGTAGCAGAAGTTGGTTCGGCGGTGGTAATTAGGGAATTTCCCCTTTGGTAGGAAAATTAGTTTCCCTCGGGTAAGTGTATGTGTATAAATAAATGCGGCATTTTTCCAGCAGGAATTTATTCGGGCGACGGAGCCGTAATTCACGAATCTTTATAAGTGTGTGCAGTTAACGCCGCACCGAATGGCCATTTAAACAAGTAAATCTTGCTTTAATGTCGCACGAAAATAAGTATTTCCAGTTCGGGCTTCCAACGACGAGTAAAAAGAAGTAAGAGACTGAAAAAAATACTAGTAAAGTTGCAGAGGGAAGAGAAAAAATACGAAATGCATTTTACAATCTATAAACGCGGAAAACGGGGCAGCTGGCTGGTATTCGAAAATTCTCCGCGTTTTCCACGTCATCATTATTATTTAGGGCCACGAAAATGGGTTCTGTCGCGCGATTTTCTACGCTTATACTTACCCCCCCTGTACTTGTATTAGAATTAATATCCTGCGACCCGTTTTCAATTTCCTTGCTTACTCTACATCCAGCAAGAAAAACATCTTATAATAACTCTACGTATAACGTATGATATTTTTGCAATCTTACGTTCCAAATTAATATTTTCATAGTAATTTTAATAAAAACGCAATGATGATCTTTTGATATATATATATATTTCGTAACAAATTAAAAAGAAAATGTATTGGACTCTTTTGACAAAAAAGGGAAACGCAATATTAAACTTTGCACTATTGAACACACGAACATTTACAAAGTAAATATTAAACCATTAACATTTTTTACACGCTTTTACATACTAATATTGAAGACAAATGTTGTATAATCAATATTAAAGCAAATTTCTTTAACTTTTCTTATTTCCGCAAATTTTATTTCATTTTTGTTAGTACTAAAATACATTAAATTAAAAAATAATACTAGAAATTATATGAATTCTGAAACTGATAATGTTTGATATTTGCATATTCCGTATTTAATTCAGCTCAAATAATTAAAAATATGAAAGTGTGAAATAAAAAATTACATGAATCATATGAAAGCAGTTCATTGACTTAAAAAAAATAATTAATCAATTCTGTTTATTAATCTAAAGGAATTGATGAATAATAATTTAAAAAAAGTAAAAGTGAATATTTGATATTTTTTTGTACAGGAAATTTACTTCAAATATTAATAACTACGAAAACTAATAAACTTATGCAAGATTAAAAAATAGTTTATTAACTTTGTTAATTACGGGTTTATATGTTTGGGCGCGATTATGAACGTATTAACCTTAAGAACATCGTACTTCGACAGGCTAATAAATATTTCCGCGCCCCGATTTTAGCGCCCCGGGGCGCATATTTTGTAAAAAAAAATACGTACACCGTTGAACCTAAACCAATAAAAAAAACGCTACGATCCGGTTCCAATTTGTAATCTGATCTAGGAAGTCGCCCGTAATTATCATCGAATCCGTATCGACGGAGTCTGCTGCATTTTGGTTTCGGGCGATCGAAGAAAAATAAATAGGAACTCAGGGCATTTATGGCTCTGTCGTTGCTTTTTTTTCTTTTTGGTTAGCGAGGTCTCACCAGTCTTGAACTGGTTCCAAAGTGCTCCAAGTTTACAAATTGCTGTGTTTTTGTCCGCCGACAAGTTGTGTGTTGCAAATCACAGCAAATGCGGTAAGTAATGGCTGGAAGCCTTAGATCTATACTTTGTATTATGTTCGTAAGAACAGTTTTTGTTTTACTTGTTTTCCATTTAAACTACTCAACAGATAATTTAGCTTGGAAGCTATTGGAGAGTATAATAGTAATAAAATAAATTATTGCAGAAAAGAACTTTTACTTAATTGAAATAAATTTTGATAAGTTATGAATCCAAAATTGGTCAATATTCAACTAAAATCTACAAAAAATGAAATGAGTATAAACATATTTGAAAGTATTTTGTAAACTGTGTATCAGTGTGAACAGCTATTGGATAACTGATGATTATATAAAAAAAAGGATTGGATCCTCGTATCGCTCGGAAAAATCTGAAGTTAACCCAATCAATTTATACAGGAACTATCCTGCAGTGTTATCCTATCTCCATCTCGATCCTTACGGAAATGGGAAAAGCACTTATTTTATCCTCGAGCAAAGTTTGCATATTGAAAGTAAATAAACAGGCATTTCGAGCGAAATTGCTGCTGCTATAAAAAAAAACCTAAAAAGAAAAGGATATCGACTTTAGCAGAATTTAATTGTTTGTAAAAACGCCGGGAGAACAATGAAATCTTAAGAGCTTCTTGTACGATAAAGTTTTTTGTGCTTCGCTCATCTTTATCCTTTTTAAGGATTATAAAAGGTTTAAATTGATCGAAATTTCCGTGTTTGCGGATGCGACCCTCGTCGCCAAAAAAGTAGTAGTCGTCCTCCTCCTCCCTCCCCGATGACATTGATGAATGTAGGCGACATCATGTCGATAGCTTCCATCGAATTCACAGCCCGATAGAAGAGACCAGACAATGGGGACAACCACTCACTCGGACATCATAAATCAATTCCCATCGTATGACTGTTCGTGTCACGCAGCCAATGTACCAACAAAACCCAACTTAAATACCCCCAACGAGTTTCTATACTCTGGACATGTAGGAGGTAGCAAAAAAAACACAAACAAAAAAATTTGAGTAAAGTAGGAGAGAATCGTCAACGGGAAA